CACTCATTAGGACAGATGCTTTGTTATAGGTCTTCTGGGTAAGGACGACCATTCCTTCTGCAGAGTTCATCAACTGCTTGATCTTTGACCAGGATTTTGGAGAGAAATTCTACAGCTGGATTGTGAACATCATTCGAGGTAACTATTTACTTTCACAAACAACTAAAACTCTTGTATATTTGAACATTTTATAGATATGAGCCCGAAAGAGTTATCCAAGTTCCATCACTTTGTGGTTGATTCTCCAGAGTTCCAACCAAGAGAGCCTATTTGGATCCAAGTTGAGAGATAAGATACATCATCTACTCAATTTCCCAAGCACACGAGAAGTTTTCTTCCCTTTAACATACCTATCAATAGAGTGGACCAAACACAAGATCCACCAAGCACTCCAAAATCTAGAGAGCTTGTATGGATTGGGCTGATGTTATGGAAGTACCACAATCTAGACACTTTCACAATAAAAATAGATAATTGTCTTGAAATATGTTTCACACTTTGAAAGAGACTCTTTTTAGTTCATTGGTGAAGTTAAAAGTAAGAATATTCAAAATATTCCACGAATGCCCATTATAAGCACTTGCGGCCCTTGGTACCTTTTGGCTTATGCTTGCCTCACCAAGGGTAATCATTATAGCTTCCAAAGCAGCTCCCAATTTAAGATCTGGGTCAAAACTATCGAGCTTGGGTGCTATATGATGCCCATCCTCGGTTGAGGAACTCTCAACCTGTTTCATAGTAGAACTAAAATCACCCTCTAGGTCTGTGAACTTGTCCTCGCTTGCATCTTGAGCAGTAATATATCCCTTACTATCACTTTCTTTAGCGGGACTTTTCCCCTCGGTGATTAACACAACATTAGAAGTAGTTTTGGGTTGCCTTGTCAGAGGGATTGTTGAGCCTTGAAAGGAGGAAACATCATATAGAATCCTCAATTTTGTCCCTTGTTGGATCCATTGTTGTGCCTCAAAGAAGTCATAAAATCCTCTCCAATTTGCCATGCCATGAGGAAACCCAAAAACCTCAAACATTGCAAAAGGGTTAGAGCATATAGGAAACCATCACAAATCTACTCTTACCAAAGTGAGCATGAGCTTCCAATCCCTGAAAACTCTAGTTCTTCAGCCACAGCATACAGTATACATTGGATAATTTTGCCCCATACTTGGAAACCCTTTTTACAAATTTTAAAATTTGAAATAGTTATGATTGGAAAATGTTGAAAGTGTCTATTGTTATTGCTCTTCTCACCTGAATGTTACTGCATGCAATTGCAACTTCTATATTCTCAAATCTCCTTCAGCAAGCTCCTCTTGAGAGAACTCCAGATTCAATTTGAAACAATTATAATTGGAAAATGTTGAAAGTGTCTATTGTTATCCTGAATGTTATTGCATGCAATTGCAACTTCCACATTCTCAAATCTCCTTCTACATGCTCTTCTTGAGAGAATTCCAAGTCTAAACATCAACACTATGCACCTTTGCGTAGTACACAATTGAAGTATGAGCCCCACCAATTCATCGAATTGGTTAGACTTCAACCTACTTTTGAGTCATATGCAAATCTTCTAAGCATCATGGTACAAAACTAATATGTTGAGAGAACTATACTGGAAATCAATGGTAACGAAGGATAAACTCAATAAAATGTATTAGAGACATTACTCCAGACAATATATATCCATGGCTTTGCAATGGAGCTAAATAAAGTTCACTTACATTTATTATGAACACTATGTTAAAAGAGGTGTGCCAAAAAAGGATAATTCAATTCTTTTGCCATGAATGCCAAAAGCAAGATGTGAAAACATAATGCCCTAGATAAGGTAATATGGTATGGAATTTGGTTGATTGTCCATTTGGTTTGCAACATTAACAACTTGCTAGAATGCATGGGCTTATTGGCCATGAATGGCTCCATTCCATACATAGCATGGGTCATTGCTATGGGCATGATGCCCCATGTGGGGCATAAGAATTGGATATTTGTAAAATATTCTATGCCTGTGTTTTTTTAACACTGAATTCGAAATCCGAAGGTATTCGTGTCCAGAAAAATCGAAATCACCATCACTTCTTCGCAAAGTTAGTTTTTTTTCAAAAGACTTGCTGAGCTGGCTGCAAGCAAAGAAGCGAGATAGCTTTCCACTTCCTTTTTGTTGCATTGCAGTTAAATAATGCTATGTTTTATACATAAAAGTCATTTTATTTATACGGATTTTCTTTTTACAACAACAAAGTCAATCGCAATTCTCACAGTTTTAAAAGAACAAAAAGAATCAACTCTCAAGAATCCAGAGTCAACTATAATGGTTATGTGTTTATCTGATTCTCACAGTATTGAAAGAACAGAAAGAATCAACTCTCGAGAATCCATAATCAACTATAGTCATGACAGCTTGAAGATGTTCTTTGCATGCTCTCAAAAGAAAAGGTGCAACTAAGGCGCCAAGGCGTTGTTGAAGTATGTCAAGCATGCAACTAGATCATCTGAAACATACCAACACGAGGTTAGTAATGCAGTTTTCTTATCAGAACAGGAGCCCATGGCAGTTGAGCAGGACCAAGAGGAGCAACAAATCCAGCCTTAGACACAGGCTGGCTCCCTACAAGTTTCCAAGTCGATAACATAATCCAAAACTTCAACAATCTAGCCAGATGCTTAGATTCTGAAACAGTCCCTTCCAGGCTGCATCTACAGTCCAGATGCTTACGTTGATCGCTAGCACGGTTTCGTCATATAGTGTGCTTATGATCACTTGCAATTTTACTTGCCAATACATTATGTAAGCTTCACAGATTCACAGTATGGATCTCGTGGGATTTCTCTATATAATGCAAGCACTTCCAGAAATCGAAAGTGACGGCAACCGAGTCCTATTTACAAACGACACTAGAGAGTTGTGCTCCGGCTTTTGATATTGTGCCTACCGAGATGGGATGACGAGCTCAGTGCGTTTGAACAGCAGATGGCTTCTTTCTGCAAGCAAAACTCTTCTTCACTTGGCCGGAGGCCGAGATCCGATGCGCAGATGTGTCGTTGCGCAATTCCTCAATGGAGTTTTACTTAACGACACTTCAGCCTTTGAGAATCTTATTGCAAGTGCTGCAATATTATATGCTGTTTGAAGGATCAAGCAAAATTGTTCAAGAGCTTACGCAGTCTCCAGATCGTGGCACCCTAGTTTTCTATCCTTTTCTGCTCATATTCGACACGCTCAGCCCTCGGGTTTAGTTTGCATCGTTTGTTTCCTTCTTCTTTCTCCTCGTCTTCTTCATCTACTTCATCATCGCTCCTGTCGCTGCAACTCACCTCTTCATCTCCATTGCCCAAAAAGTAGCAAATTTTAGCATTGATCACCTTCTTCAACCCGTCTCTAGCAACATCGTCCCATGTCTTGGCACTCTCAATCAAGCTGCTATCGTCTTTTTCATCGTTAAAATTACCACTTCTCGCATACTTTACTACAACTTTCACCATTTCCTCATTGCCCAGCCAAATTGCAACTTCAGCCAGTTTCTTGTTGTGACTACTATATTTCAGTGCTCGTGACAAAAGTTCCGAGAAGAGCTGCGTCACCTTTTCATCCTTCTTCAAGCCAAACAGCCCGGCTGCTTCTTTCATTTTAACCAAGAGCCCCCAATTAATCTTCCAGTTTCCTCACAAGAGCAGCACAAGCGCATCAGCACTGTTAATCTCACTGCCATAGATTTCTTCAGGTCAACATCGTTGATGAATCTCTTCCTTCCCAAAGCCATTGCAGTGACATCCGATTCGAGCGTCACAACACCCTTCCCAGAAAACTTCTCCTTCCTTCGTGCTGGAGCTTAGCCAGCTTTTCCTTCCTTTCGCTGTGCAAAGTTGACTTAATAATATTTTCCATAGGGCCCATATCTTTTGTCGGGGTAGGGCTTCTCTGCTTGTCTCTCCCACAAAGCTTCTTCAATTCAATGTCTTCTCCCAAAACTCTTCCATGTGAGGAAAGCTGCTCTCTCCCCACTTTTTAGCTACTTGGACCAAGCTGCTAGCGGGAAAGGAACCAAGTGTACGGAAACCATACCCTGTGCTGCTGTTGCCATGCGTCATCCCCCACTTCTTCATGACCAAGCAGGCTGCGTCGTGACAGTCGTGCTTGACGCAAAAATCTGGCAGAATTTCAAAATGCGTCTTGTACCCCACTTTACTTGTCAAGTATCGCTCCAAATCCCCATTCGTCCGGCCAGGCTCGCATTTGTGCTGCTCCTCGAGCCACTTCAGTACACTTTCACTGTTGTAGCATAGCGCCTCCATTCTGCAATCCTTGGGCCACACCACCAGAGCAGCGGTGTGGTAGAAAGAGCTGACACCGCCGCCATTGTTGCCAGTGTATGACACAGTGTTCTCGTCTGGTGCGTCGTCAAAGGGTCATTATCGTTGCTGTTGTCCCTCACAATCTGATCCTTTATAGACAGTCGATCCACATAGTACTCGGTCTCAACTTCGATGCCGAAATTGTTCTCGTAGGTTTGCTTCACAAGCATGCAGACATGGACGTGCATACTTTTGGCGGGGAACGGTCGACCACAGTGACTTCAAATTTATGGAGCATTTCCTTTTTTATGGCTCAAACCCTCAAACAATTTAGTCTTAAATCTCAGACATTGGATTGAATAGTCTTGTGGAGAGGCATATTTTGCCATAAAATGGATTAATACAAAGCTAGTGCTAGAGGGACTCAGTTCCAATTCCAAGGCCTTTTCGTGCTTGGACCTCACAAATTTTAAAATCTTTTAAGCAATTATTAATTCATATTTACCAGTATTTACTGTGTCAAACATTAAGATGCCAACTATAAGACACACTGAAATTTATGGATCGATGTAGATTTGTTAGCATCATCTGTGCGATCATCTTCGCCTGCTTCAGGCACGATTGGAGAGACAGGGCTGGCCGTACGCAATCCATACGATCGCTCCAAAAATCTCTAGCTCGACCAACTTGCGGGGCGCGGGCAGGCGTTCGTCACAATCCTCGTCCGAACTTTAAAGACAAGTCATAGAAACTGCTTGAAAAACTCGGAGTACTGTTCGAGGTAGTCCGGTCGAGTGGGAACTATATGCCCCGAGTCATGACGAACTACCATTCGAGAGTCAGGCCTGAACTTCCCAGCCAATCTCTCGCTTTCCGTGCAAGAGATTTGCCGGTCATAGCCAGTTTTCCCACTGAAAATGTGCAGCGAAGGGCAGTCGATCAATCCTCCCAACACCTGTTGCTCTAGCACCGGCGAAACGAACCCCGAGCACAGCACGACGAACTTGATGTCGATCAGTCCAGCATCCTTGAGTGAAGAAAGTATGGCAGCCACGGCCGCTCCCTGCCAGAACCCGAGAACGCCATCGAATGGCCCGCGATCAGCCAATACTTGTCCCAGGTACTCCCAGCTCTCGCTCCAACCCGACGTTTGCTTTTGGTACTGCATGGGATTGAAAGACTTCTGTACTGGAGTCCACGTTTGTGTGCTAGCCTTCGGACCATCCGGATCGGTTAACCACGCGAATTTCTTGTGCGGCTGGGCTGTAGGTTCTTGCCTCGTTTCGTCCTCGAGAAGTTGATAGAGCAGCGGAAGCTCGTGAGGAGCATCTATGAAGACGAACTCGGCTGTACGTCTGAGTTTCTTCGACAGCGATGCGAGCCTGCCCTTCAAGTTTGATGCGTTTTGACGAAAGCCGTGCAAGCACAGTATCCTTAACTTCGAGCCTGTTCACGGTGGGTCATATGTCTGCTATCAAAATTTGACAAGCACTCACATTTATCACGTCCTGATTCTACTGGTTCACTAGAATGCTGATTAGCAGCGCACAGCTCGCAGAGATAAGGCACTGACGCCTGAAAGCACAATGCAAGGTAAAGAGAAGACAAAGATCATATACGAATTACCTTGCAACTTTCGCATAGAAGTACCAGCATACGACACATGGAGCAACGGAGCCGTGGAGTATAGTCATCGTAGGGAGATTTGCAACTATAGCAGCAGCCAACAGTTTTATCTTGTAGCGATGGAACTGATATCCTGCCAGCCAAAGCTTATCAGCTTCCGAGTAAGAGTGATGCATGCACTACCTATGATCGAAAACAAAGTTCTTCCCATGGAAGTATCCTCCTTCAGGAAATGCCTCCAGATACCGCTGAATGCCACCAGAAAGCTGCGTAGCACGAGGTTAGAATCCACCGTACAAACAGGAGAAAACCAAACAACCTGGTAGACGTTCTCGAATTCCTCTCCTTTGCTACGAATGTAAGCAGAAGCCATCTCGCACCGGACACCTCCAGTGAAATACCTGCAACAAATGCAAAAGCATATAACACAATGAATGAAAGAAACGACTTAGAAAGAAATACATCAGTACTGATTTGTTGCGCAATTGCTCCGCGCGCTCGTCTATCCAAGCAGGCAAGTCACTGTACTGGCGTATCTTGGGGGGCAGCGTTGCTTTGTTTCAAGCTCCCTGCACGAATGAAAATCTTGTAAGTTGGAAAGAAAACAACCAAAACCTGCTTGGTCGAGCATTCCATGGAACTGCTCTGGCGATAGATGCTTCCCAGCATTTGCAAGCGATGGAGAAGGGAATACACCAAGCGTCACGCGATTTCCTAAAAAGCCGAAAAAACGAAAAAAGCTTTGCTCGAGCAAGAACTTGCGAGAAAAGAATTACCTCAACCAGACGAACGGACAAGGAATCAAAACCACAGCTCGCAGCGGCATCGCGATCCATAGGCCGGGAGCACGCAGCGAGCTTGAAATCGCATCCCTGGAACAGCTCCTGCCTCGCAACAGCATCGATGTGCTCCCTCAGCGATTCCATGCTGCCTCCGACCTAGCAAGAATCCGTGAGAACACAAAGAATTTCCAGAGAATGCCACTCACATACCGTGACATTGACGCCCCGGGCGCAATCCGTATCCTCCCCAGCAGCGCCAGCGAAGAACACGATCGCTCGAACCAGTCCCTGGTCGCTTCGGGATCCGGCAGCGTGACGAACTTGTAGTAGAGAAGAACTCCCTGCTCTGGGAGCGCCACAAAAGCCCTAGTTTTCATGGCTACTTGTTAATGGAAAATTCAAAGAGTATAGAAGAGTGGCATTTGCTCATAGATAAACGCACAGGCATTCTCGTAGCTCTGTCGTTCCCACTGGGAGGTAGAGCTTGGTTCTGTCTTCACTGGGACAGTCAAGGACCCAGGATCAGGGATTTTGATCGAGCGAGTAGTGGATGTTTTTACATCGAGTCGTAGTGTTTTACGGCATTTGCCTCAGCTGGCATTTCTCTGTTTTTGTCGATGCTAGAAAGTTTCTTCCTCGGAAAGCCAAGAAAATCTCCTAAGAAATCTCATCATCTGGGCTCAAATTCAATGTGAAAGTAAGCTAGCGAACGTTATATGAACTTAAATAGGAATGCTGGCGACATCCATAAGTTCGGACTTTTCTTTTTCTGCTATGCCCGGATGACGTCGCCCATTTTACTCTCAATCACATTCGCTTCCACGCCCTGATCCAGGAAGCAAAGAAAAGCATTCCCGGCATAGATCGCGCCATATCTCCAGCATTGGGTTGTCCCTGCTAAAACCCTAACCCTTGGCTGTATTTTAAAGGCCTCTCTTGGCATGCTGCCCAATGACTGGACCAGGTGATTTTGGAAGCCAGGTGGTGGCACTCTCGTTGCAACTCAAGTCCAATAGTTGTCTAGTAAGTGCATTCAGATCCATGCACCCAAGAAGAATATATTCTTAAATTATTCCTTTGGAAATTGCATATGCTATGAGCCTTTTCGCCATTTTAAACCATAACTCTTTGTGTTCCCGATACCACCAACTACAATCGCCTTGACCATAGCATTGCCTATTTCATCAGCGCCAGCTCCCAGAGCCCCCTGTATTTTGGGAGAGTTTATCAACTTCTCAAGAGTTAGACACCTCTTCTTAGTCGCATCTGATGCAATAAAAATGCCTCTCTTGCTCCAGATTGTATCAAGGTTTGGGTGACTATTTAGAGCCACCGTGCCTACAGAAACAGCTTTAGTAAATACTTCCACCAAGTAAAGATAGATAATTCATGTCACTCACATTCTTGTGACGCTTTGCGATCAATGTCTAGGGCCAAGTGATCCTCAAATATCAGCTGCGCAAAACAACACACAAGATAAAAGGAAACAATCAGAAACACATTCCAACGAAAAGAGTGTGCATACGTGAACAATGTAGACGACCATGCCACCGAACGTCCATTTGTTTATGGCCGTCGTCAAAGTAATGCTGCTGGAAGTTGAAGACTAAAATCAGCCCTCTCCATGCCAGCCCCTTATTTCTCCCAGCTCGGATTGCAAGCAAGGGACCCCATCCGGCTCCCACTGCGCGTTCCTGCACAGCTGCACGAAATGGCCGCTAAAATCCTTGCCGAAAACGGCAGGGGCGGCACGGTAGAGCTGGCGCTCGTCGCTGCTTCCCGCTGTCACCGACTGTGCGTTCTCCACGATCGACTTGCCCGTCGAGCACAGCGTCTGGAGCTTGGTCGCGCTGCCCCTTTTTCGTCAGTGTCCAAGTGTAGATCAGACGGCCAATTTGCAAGCTTGCATCCTTAAAGTCCATATAGTATGAAACCTCGCGAGGCCTGTACTGGTAAACGAGCGAGCTCCTTCGAACCCAGCACTCCAGAGGTACAACAAGGCTTTGGTCCCACTCGAATGTGTGAGTCACTGCTGCCACCACCTCCTGCCAAAAAACAAAAAAAAAAAAAAAACAAATAAGAAGCCTGTCTCTGAGCTAAGGATTTTACCTCCACCACCTGGCAGATGCCGGGGGTGAGATCGATCCATTGCCATCTACCACCAGGAGTTCCTTGAACCAAACGTTATAGACGTTGTCGATGTTCTCCCTGGTTGGCAGAAAGAATTCCTGAAACCTGTATGCATGCACGGTGTCTAGGAAGCAGAGCAAGAGTTTGCCCAGGTACCCCCTGCTGCCAGCTTTGGCTTGAGGTATGAAAGCGTCAAGCCATTCGTGCGGCTGCTTGTTTGCTTGGACCTGGAGGTGCAGCCACGCGAAGAAGAGCACGCAGAGTTGCTTGCTCACATCAAACAGGAGAAGGGCATCCAGAAGACAAGTTCACGCTGAGAAAGTACAGGGAACTCTAGACATGAGTGACACAAGATCTGCACAGACGGCTGGTTAGGAATGAAAAGGAAAAGAGACAAGCCATACATGTAATTCCTTCTGCCAAATACATCACTTCAGTGGCTGGCATCCGAATGAGCTGCAACCAAGAAATAAATGCTCTTTTACCGCTTTGCCACAAGAAATCTTGATAACTCACCACTTCAAGCTTGTGTGTAATGTAGTAGCAAAGGAGCACAAAAGACAATACTGTTGGGCCACTGTAACTTTGCTGGTTGGAGCAACCTCACTGCCGCGTGAAATAGTCAGCAGTGATGAAGAGGTGCAAGAAAACCTCCAGGACTGGAACCCAGAGTCCAGATCTTCCACTTGACACACTCAACTCATCCATATTGTAGAACCACCAGCCCAAAGAGCTGGAATGCCCCTGCAGCCACTCTCAGCAATCATATTTTCTTATTATATTTTTAAATATTATTAAAATAAAATTATAATATTGTGAATGCATGGAATAAGAATACAGGAAATGTGCATATCAATTATCCCCCTAGCTTATATACAGGAGTGAGTAATTTGGATTAAAACCAATCCAATACCTACCAAAATTCCATTATGCTAATATTAGTATACAATATCATAACCTCAGATCCCTTAGAAGATTGTCAGAGTTCTTTCATAGATGGGTTGGGATCTAGAAAAACATCAAGAAGAGGCATCGATGAATTTGTAGGTGGTGCCAATTGTTCTTAATCCCTTTGTACAAAGTGTATATGCACAATTTCTAGAGGATTGGCCTACTGGATGTTATACTGAACCTCATAAACTTGCAGTCAAATTTGCCAGAACACTTGATATGGACTTTTCCACTGAGCAAGGAGCATCTACTATAAGATGGGGAAAATAGGCTTACACTAAATCATCCACTTTGTACTTTGCAGATGAATAATAATGGGAGTTATAGTGTTGTTATTGTCCCATTTATATGCAACCCAGATGTTCAACAAACTCTACTCGGACAAATGGAAGAATGCTCATCAAATACTGATCTCATGATTTAGCATCAGCAGTCTGCAGCAATCACAAAGATAAACCTAACCCCTTTGGCAGTATTGGATCATGACTATATAGAAGTTTATATAGTGAAGCACTAATAGAACTCTACACTTCTGTGATATATGTATACCAAAGAGACAACAAATAACCTTCCCAATCCAAATGCTGAAAGTTCACGTATTTCACAATCATCCATTTGAATGTCCGAAAGAGCTATTCCACTAAATAGTTTGAATGTGAATGATAAGCACTCATGAAAGTGTAGCACATCCCCAACTGATACGTCAAAATGTGAAATGCCTTAATCATAAATGTGGGATCATTATCCAAAAGAATCTACTACAGACATAAATGTTAAAACACCACTCAATTGAGGAAGAAGTATTCAACAATAATTGCTGACACACTAGCAAAAGCACCGACTTCCACTTAGTGAGTTAAGTAGTCATAAACAATAATGATATACTCATTGCTAGCAGTCAATCATGGAAAAGGTCCCATCAAATCAAATGCCACCAACTCAAACAAACAAGAAACTATAATTGACTCAAATTGTCCTTCTGTAGTACAAAGAGAAGTATTATGAGCTTGGCACCAAATGCAGCTACACACATACCAGATAACCCCACGTTGCATCTCTGACTAATAAAAAAATCTATGCAACTTCAAGGTCACACAACAATGTCCCATATACCCACCTAGAATAGGAGAATTATTGTAAGTATAAAGAAAGTATGGAATAAAGATTGAAGGCACCACCAATTATAAATGATCATCAAGATCTATTCTCAGAAAATAAAGAAGACTGTCCTCAAGGTGATATTAAAAATGTAAATGCCAAAAAAGCAAGTCATCAACAAATGATATAAAATTCTTAAACCCATCGTGAAGCCTTCGAATACATAGTTTAATCTTTTGAGCTTAACAAACCTCATCAAAAGAAAGTAAATCCTACTCTACATCTGTTTTACACCAAAACTTTGGTGATCAACACTTTGGCACGACTCAGCAAACTTTTGTCAAGAATGCAACATTTGTCAATGAACCAAGTACACACCAAAGAAACAAACTCAAGAGCTTCATCCAATAACACCACTAGAACCATTTCAATGATAGGACTAACTTTCAATTTCTACGGTGTCATCGAGTGGGTCTTCTGCGATGGACTCGACGAACAATACGGGGAAGTGAAGATGGTTTGCAGGCCCGTGGAACTGCTGACTATGGAAGAAGAGAGCAAGATTGAGACGGCACAGATTTGCAGCTTCAAGCTCAACAGGTGCAGGTGGTTCCCTTGTAGCGTTCTGAATTCGGAGAAGTGCCACTGCATGACTCCAAGTGAGTGGCATACACAGGAGAATCGGCTGAAGGGAAAGCTGCCGGCATTCATAGAGCTTCTCAACAACGACGACAGGCTAGTGTTTGGGGGGAAACATCTGCATCGGAGTAACCTCACGTTCGAAGCGGGATACGTGCTCCAAATCGACTCGTTTCTGGTCGTGGTGCGTACGCAGCAAGGCGCTGGAACGAGTTGCAAGCAATCGGTGACTGTTGCAGACCCCCCCCCCCCCCCCGGATGAAGGCCGAAGTGCATTTCTCGTCGAAAGATCGTGAGGAGACGAAGATGCAATGGTGCTACTACGCGGAGGTTGAAGCCATAAACGATATCAAGGGGATCTATGCATTCGCTTCGGGCACAATCTTTCCAGATCTTTGCAAGGCTGGGAAGTACAAGGTGGAGTTCTCGATTGATGGGCATCCGGACCTTAAGCCAGCAGTTTGGGAGGTGAATATCAAATCCTTGGGGTCCGTTTCCAGATGGCATATTGATACCGAGGCATGCACCGGGATTACGTACGTAAGCTTATCTTTTATTGCTATTAACTACTATCTATGTTCTAAATTCTACAGCTTGGAGGAGCTAGTAACGCAGAACTTTACTGTTCAGGGATTTGACACCTACGACAATCTGGTGCCATTCTCACAGCCTTGTTCGAATGTGTGCATGGTTCTCGAGGCATTGGAGAGCACGAGGCTTAGTACAGTTTCGCTTGGACGTGAGAGCATGAGCTTTCCCCAAAAGGACAAAATGAATGTCGGAGTAAGTCTCAAACCTCTTTTTGGATTTGCTTATAATGTCTGCTCCACAGAACTTCATAGTTCGGGGCTGCATACTGCCGGCTCACGACGCTCGTCTATGCTTCTACGTTGGAAACCAGAAGCTTGGACACTGGAGATGTCAAGGTTATCAGCTGTCATCTTGATAGCTTCGGTTGTTTCTACCTCAATGATGATTTGTTTTTCTTCCGCAGTTTATCCTGGCAAGCTTGCACGACTGGAGCTTGTGAATAGCTCTCTCGAGCTCCCTCCTTCTGGATCGATGTTTTGCGTCAAGCAACCACTGGATCCAGACTGTTACTTCCCGTGCATGGTGTTCAAGGTAGGCACTGTTCTTGTCATTGCACCATATTAATGTAGATTCTAAAGCTGCAGGGATTCGACGAATGGGGAAACTCCGTTAGGCAGGGAACTCGGATGCTATCTGGCGTACACCTCTCACAGCAAGAAGTCGAAACTGATGGAGCCGGCATTGTTCGCTTGAGCGAACTCAGAGTCGCAAAGGAATACAACATGACAGGTGCTTGTTTTGATGCAAAGCTAAAATGCTGCTTCATTATGGGTTTTCAGGTTCCATCGTTCTTTCTTCGGAGGACGACATCGTAATGTTCGAAATAGTTTTCAAGGGCGCTAGTCGAACCTTGAAATTTGCATCTGAGGTGAGCACAATATGCCTATCCATTTTTCATCCGAGAAGCGAAACTGTATTTGATTTCAGCAACAAAAAAGATCTTACATTGGACGGGAAGTTACCGGACTCAACATTCATGTTGTGGACGAAGATGGTAACGTCGACACAGCAATAGGAGGCACAATCTCAATGAGCTGGGACAAAGACATTTGCTATGTCCTCAACAAGGGACAGTGTCAGCTAAGGGGACTCACTATGCCAAGACTCCTGGATTGTGGGAAGGACGAGCATGGCACTCGGACTATCAACTTATGAGCTTAGCTTTCGAGGTACTACGGCAAGCATGTTTCATTCATAATTATGAACACCTTTGGATCTTTCCAGATTCAAGTTGAACTGGCGGCTGCTTGTAAACCTGTTTATGAAGAACAAGTAATTGCCGGAGGCTGTGGGGAAGAAATAGCTTTCAAGTTTGAAGCCCGCGACGAGCTCAACCTTCCTGGATTTCTGAGCAATGAAATCGTCGAACAGGTCGTTTTGTTGGCTCCTTGTTTTCTCACCCAAGAACTTATCCATGCAAAAATACTTATTTTTCACTTTTGCAGATGGAAGTGGAGGTGTTTCCCGAGGAAGACTACCTCACCGATGAGAATGTGCTGCTCAGCAGAAGAATTTCAAGTACAGAAGACATGAAGTACAGCCTCAGGGTTGTCCTCGACGGAAAAGAAGGCTTCTACGTCGTCACGTTGAAGAACGCTATGCAAACTTTGAACTGGAGAGTGTATCTTGGCTGTGGAGACGTTCACAGATTGGTCCCATTCTGTGGAAAGCGTAACGAGCTGCTCAAAGCTCTCATGACAGCTGATGCGGGCCGCCGGTTCTCGGTTTGCAGGCGTAGCTTTTTTCCGGAGCTACAAGTTTGTCTGGTGGATCACAAGGACAACGTTTGTAACAGCGGCTACAAAGCCAAAGAAGTTTCTCTAGAGATCATCGTTCCAGACACTTGTGAAAGACTTGAGAAAGTGGCATACGCGACGGATGGTTTTGCTGCATTTCAAAGCTTCTGGACATGCCGCTGGGCGTCTACAACTTGGTGATCAGAGCATCTTCAAAGCAAGTCTCGGTCCCGTTGGAAGTCACTCCTGGAAACAATCCAACGCTGCTGCGGCTCCTCGGCGAGACTCCTCGTGAACTCACACTCTCGGACAGGGATGACGAGCAGCAAGTCGTGCCGGAAATGCGGGTTCTGGTGGAATGTGAAGACGGTCGCCCCCTACAGGCCTTGCAGCAGCTCACCATCTCGGTCTGGGATCCGCTCGGGAAGAACTGCTCGACCAAGTCTGGAGAGAGAGACGACGAAGCATCTGTCTATATTTTCCAAGGCCTGGTGGTACTGGCGAGAGCAGGACCATACGTCCTCAAGTTTGTGCTCGAAGGCAGCGACGAAGTGACCCCGATCAAGTGGCAGCTTAACGTGGTCCATGGAAGGCCGTATAGGCTCAAGTTTAACATGGAGCAGGAAAATACCGACGTGGTGGTGGTGGACGTCGTGGATATTCATGACAACAGGTGCTTCGGTTGTCGAGAGATCTCACTTCGTGGCACTCTCACGCTGCAGCGCGCTGCCAAGCCTGCGATCTGCTGCATGACCGCAATAAATGGGCAGGCTACTTTCAGTGATCTCGAAATCATGCCAGAGTTGTTTACGTTCAAGGTATGTGCTATTGGAGGCGAGTTTAACGACGTCAAGAGTGCTACTTCTCGTTTGGCTGTTCTTCGAGGCAACTATTCTCGCGAACAAGTGGAGAAGCACTTGTACCAGTACATTGTAGAACAATCCGAAACGGTACGTGATATCATTTTTTATAGCTGTGTATTTGCCCCTTACGTTATCTTTTTCAGATGATCAAAAGTATTGGCAGTGGCCTGAAAGAATGCCATAAAGCTCTCAAAAATCTTCCAAATAAGTTGTATGCGGCCCAAGAGTCATTGGGTCGTAATACAGGTAGAAGAGTTCTTTTGCTTGTCCGCCTTAAGTGAATATTTTCTTCAGACTTGCTGAAGCGGGCTCAGGCAAGCTTGTTGAGTGTTTATGAGCATCGACGAGCTGCCAACGATGATGAGGTTTTGCTCTGCGAAGGAAATGAAACTCAAAGGACGGAGGGCGACATCTTAAACGAGCTCAAGACTTTGGTTCACAAGGAGAATTCTCCGGCATTGGCGCTGTACACGGCTCAAGAGATGAAACCGATAGGCTTTCCTTTGGATGACATTTTGGGGCCGATTGTTCTCCTTGCTCGGGTTGAAAAGGATGAAATCAACAGGTAATCCTTCCTAGATTATTTTTTCTCCTTCACGTGTTTTGTTTTTCTTACGTTTTGTGTGTGTGTTTGTGCTCGTTTCAGCATACGATGGCTGAGAAGCTCTGATGCAAACGTGGACAACTCCACGGCCTTTTCAGCGTTTGTTCGCAGCAACAAGCTCTGGATTCCAGAGAACTTTCCAGTATTTCGTATCGACGCAATCAAGTAAGTTGTCACCCATCGAGCAAAACTTAGCTGTGATCTTGTTCTTCACCAGGCAATACAAGCGTAAGGATGGGAATGCAGCGGTAGATGCTCAACATCCTCAGAAGCTCCTTAACATTCCACCGCCTGTTCTATCCAATGGCGAAATCCCGGCTGGTTTCTTGGGCTATGGAGTCAACTTTCTCTACTTGAGACCCGAGCACTTGGAGCTGCGCCAGAGCTTGTTCTACCATGTTTTCCGGAAGCTACAAGTCTACAACACGGAGGAAAACATGCTAAATGCGTGGAACGAGATGAGCTTGTCGTGCCAAGCAGTATCTCTCGACGGGGGAAGGTGTGACAAAGGCCAAGTTCTTATTGGATCACGGAGGTAAGATCAAAGTTTTCGTTTCTCACAAGTTTAAAGTTTTTCCTCTATTTTAGAACATTCGAAGTTCCAAGATTTGCAAGTGTGCCTTACGAAGAACGCGAGCAATGCTCATTGGTTCCAGCAGCAGCCTCAGCTTTCACGAGGAACAAAGAATTTTTGCAGTGTCAGGCCAAGGTGGAGGAGTTACAAGCAGCGGCCTTGAACGACGAGAAGGAGCTCCAAGAGCTGGAAGACAACAGGCAGGAGCTTGAGATGATGATCGAGAAGTGGCAAAAACGTATTCCATCGGATGTCGACAGTGATGATTTCTGCAAACAAATGCAAGCTTTGCAGGAGCAAGCTCCAGACGCTGGCAGCAAAGGAACATTGCATATCTACCTGGAAGAAATCTTTGAGGAGAGGATGATTTCTCACACTTCTCGAGAACATAGACTCTTGTCAATATGATGTATTTTGGACAGACATTGAGCCCAATGCGAGACTGTGTACAGGCCAGAGAAGAGCAAAGTCCACCCTCAAATTCCACTTTGCAGGAAGAATTAACATGATTGCAAACACCTATTTAGATTATCTTCCTTCTTTCTTCTTCAGTGCCAACAATTCGTCCGCGAAACCATTCTGCAAATACCACCAAACGTGCTGATCACGGCTTTTGATGATGAGCGAATACAAATGCTGCATCATACAATTCAGGGCTAAGATCGAGCCGCAAGAAAACTGCAAGAGTTCTTACACTGAAATTATGACGTCCTGGAATCAGCTGCAGCTCCTCTGCTTCATCGGTCAAGAGCCTTGTCGAAGAAAGGCCTGCTCGGAACAAAGAACGAAAGAAAGACCGAAGTCAGTCAGGCATCATGCATTCGTGGGAAAAAATCAGCGGCTTGATAAAAAGAAAACATTATTCAGTGATAGAGATTCTTCTAGAAGTCAAGAAAATAAATAAATAAGCAAAACCAGTTACAGTCATTAGAACCTGCGACACCAAATGTAGCAACAAATAGAAGAGCAGTGCAGCCATCAAAGAAACATAAATGCCCATCGAAAGAAAATGTGCCTTGACAAGGAAAACAAACACAAAGCCTCCAAACTTATGCCCATTACAGGCAAATTCTGCAAGGAGAGCTATACAGGCCAGCATTCTTGTTTGCGCTTCTGTAAATCCTTATAGCGTTTCGCTAGCTTACTTCCACCTTAAATTCTGAGATTTATTTCTAGATGTTTCTTTCCTAGGAATGCAAGGCTGAGGCAAATGCTGTAAGACCCCAAGATACGCCGGTACAGCGATGGTTTCGCCTGTGCTAGAGGAAAAGATGTTAGCAACAGGATGAGGATTGATCGACTGCCATTCGCTGCACATTTCAGGGAAAGCACGGAAGGCGAGAGATTGACTGGAATCTCAAGCAGAGGTACTATTTCTTGAGAAAGCTCTTCTCTGATCACGACTAAATAGTGTTACTAAAGGGAAAGTATCAAGGCGCTTCTCCGAGGCCGAAAGTATAACGCAAGGCTTTTTCGCGCTCCAGAAGCTGACCACGTCACCGCCACGTTGCCGTCCAGCTCATTAAGTATTCTTCCCGCTTCATTCAAATTTTCAGGGCTAGCGCAAAGCAACCATGGCAGCTCCACAGCTGTGGTGCCCAACCGAGCAGCGCAATCCAAGGCTTGATGGAAAGATTCGTGATATTTTGTCGAAATTCTAGGCAAT